TCTGGTTGACCTATCACAGGTCCATCGTTATGACTGGGGTGGCGCCGGCTTGGCTACCCTTTACTTTTATATGAGCGCGACCTCCCGCGGGTGGGGGGATTTACTTGGCGGCTACTGGAGAGCTTGGGAGGTACTTTTCTGTCCTCTAGATTTACATTTCTGCTCTTCATTACTTGTACATTGCACACACAGCGCACTTTTACAATCTGTATTTTGCTCTCAGTATTTCGTACTCACATTCTGCACTGCTTTTCTCAGCTATGGGTCTATGTATACTTCCCATCATTAGCTCCAGAGTTGGAGGTGGCAGGGGTTCTCATGACCCCTTATTCACTGGTGTTTGAGGGCCCGCACCGGCCGAGACCTCGAGAGACCCTCCTTTACCTGCGACAGTACTTTGACAGTGTGCGACATTTAGAGGTACCTCAGAACTTTCAATTCCTTTCATTTTCATCTTTGATTTGCTTTGTATATTCTCGATTTTTGATTGGTTTATGCATTTATCATCCGCAGATCACGTGGCAGCCCTAGGTGCCCCTGGGTGATGGTCTCCGATTTCAGTATACCAGAGGATCGGGCACTTCCCAGTACAGGGTTCTGCTCGAAGGACCAGTTGGCAGGGCATGGTTTCTGGGGGAACACTTTCTGCGTCAGGTATGGGGGTATCTTTCTCAGGATCCTCCCACAGTACCCCCAGTCAGTATGCAGACTGCTGACAGGCTCTCTTTCTCGGAGGTAGTCGGCGCTATGCTGGGTAGCGATGCTTTACTATATCTCGAGGAGAGGGATTACGGCACTTACCGTCATACATATTTGATGCCTCCATTGACGGGAGCTCGCACCCCGATGACGAGGCCTGCTGGTATGTCATCCTCGGGTCAGGCCCGGGTTCGGGCTGCAGACGTTCCTTCCACCAGCGGGGCTGGTACATCTAGAGGTGGGGGTAGACCGGTTCCTCCAATTTCGCCGACTTATCCTCATCCTGGATGGCCAGATATGCCGACTGAGTTGATGGCGTGGCAGTATGGGGCTATCTCTCCGACTCCGATCCCGCTAGAGCCTCCGATGCCCAGTGATCGATATGCCATTGATCCTGACTCACCGCTGGTATGCTCCACTATTTTTCATTCATCATTCAGACATTTAGACATTTGAACACGCAGCCCAGATTGATAGTGAACACGTAACTCAAGCTCAAATGGTAAACAAGTAAAACTTTAGCATATTTTGAAACTCCTTAAGTTTTCAAAGTAAGTTTAAACAACCTATTTGACTCAACTCAACTCATTTACAATTCCACCATTACCAAACAACCCAACTTCATGATTATCATGAGAGAGAGAGAGAGAGAGCAAATAATTCCAAAAAAAATCTGTTCATGAATTCTCAGAACTTCATACAATGGTCACCATGATTAAATGCTTCAATGTTCCAATTTAACCACGAAAGCATTAAAAAAATTCAGTAATTATCAGTACATAACATTGTTGAAGGCTTATCATTGTATCACATTGTCAAAGGCTTCAAATTTTTATTTTTATTTTCATGTTCCTCTATTCTCACTAAGCCACAAAAACTTGCTAAGAGCAACCATGGGCCTGACTGGAAAGTGGGTGTTTTTTGTGTTTTCATAAGCAAAAGCTCAAAAACACACATTGTCCTCATTTTTGAGTAAAAATGGTTTTGAAGATTCAAATACAAATGTGATTTTCTAGAAAAAAAAAATTCCTTAATTATTTTTTAAAACAATCTGAAAAATAAAAATAAAAAAGTGAAAACAAATCCAAATAGATATCCAAACATAAATGTCTCCAATAAAATGCAAGGCCACTCTCCTGGTGAAAGAAAGATTTATAGAATTGCAGATGCCGTATTTTTTGCAGTTCTATTTTTGACCTAATAGTTCTTTGTGTTTCTAGCCATGACCACTGCTTAACATTGCTGCCAAATAAATAGTTCAACCTGCTTACTACTTGACTTAAATAATCTGATGGTAACAACATCAAGAAACATGGATTCAATTTCAGCCAACCACTTCTCTTGCAAAGCAGCAGGTGCAAGTGGCTCCTATAGCATTCAAGTACTCAATCCTGAATTTGTTTCTCATTTTTTTATCACCCCAACATGTGATCAGACCAAATGCTGAGAAGTATTAGAAACTTATCTCACATCACTTCTTTAAGTCAGGTAGTTCTGCCCAATTACAACTCATCGTAGTTTTGTCATGAAATAAGTAACTTAAACACCATTTTATCTCACAACTAAGACCACTTTGGGTCATAACTACCACAACATTGTATCATAATGATGCACAATTTTCATATCACATTTGGTCATAACAAAAAACCACCACTTTAGATCGTAACTATCACCACTTTTTGACAACCAATACTACAACAATGCATAACTAGTATGCATCCTTTTTTGGGGTTGTGGAATGTAGCATTAACCTTAGAAGCCAATAAAGCTTAGTTCATATAATTTAGAGGCCTCTCCAACCCATAGTTAATTGATGTTGGGTTGGAAGCCTCCAAATTTGTAGCATTAAGTAATTATCCTTTTGTTCCACTTATTGGTCTCAACACTTGCTAGCCCTTGCTCTTGACATAATCACCCAAGTTCATGTGGGTTAAGAAAATTTTGTCTACAAGATGAAAAATCAAATGAGGGTGGCTAAAAAGTTTAATTCACTTTAGAGACAGACAACAGTTCTATCAGTTCTATTGCCTAGTGTTTTTTCTATTGTAAAAACAATGAAGATGTTGATTGTCACCATATTCTCCACCAGATAGCCTCAAACTCATCACCCTTAAATGGATTCCATTATGCCTAAAACTAGCCTTCTTGTCTTCTTTGATCACAGTAACTGAGCATATTCAAATGGTTTTCTACTCTTACTTTATAAGCAATTCAATTAACTCTCATATCCTCAACAATCTCATCACTAAAGCACTAATTATTAGGACTTCAAAACGAACTAAGCTACTCGAATTTGACTCATTAAAACCTCATTCAAGTTCACTTTGTTGCATAAACGAATCAAAGTTGAACAAATTTTAAAGTTTGTTAATTTTCTAGACTCTTCGAACTTTTAACTCGATAGGCATAAAAGTACTACCAAAAATAAGTAACTCAAGCTCAAATGGTAAACAAGTAAAACTTTAGCATATTTTGAAACTCCTTAAGTTTTCAAAGTAAGTTTAAACAACCTATTTGACTCAACTCAACTCATTTACAATTCCACCATTACCAAACAACCCAACTTCATGATTATCATGAGAGAGAGAGAGAGAGAGCAAATAATTCCAAAAAAAATCTGTTCATGAATTCTCAGAACTTCATACAATGGTCACCATGATTAAATGCTTCAATGTTCCAATTTAACCACGAAAGCATTAAAAAAATTCAGTAATTATCAGTACATAACATTGTTGAAGGCTTATCATTGTATCACATTGTCAAAGGCTTCAAATTTTTATTTTTATTTTCATGTTCCTCTATTCTCACTAAGCCACAAAAACTTGCTAAGAGCAACCATGGGCCTGACTGGAAAGTGGGTGTTTTTTGTGTTTTCATAAGCAAAAGCTCAAAAACACACATTGTCCTCATTTTTGAGTAAAAATGGTTTTGAAGATTCAAATACAAATGTGATTTTCTAGAAAAAAAAAATTCCTTAATTATTTTTTAAAACAATCTGAAAAATAAAAATAAAAAAGTGAAAACTATGTGGATATGAAATAATTTACAGGAAACAGGTTTATCAGGTTGTAAGTTCAAAAATAAAGATAATTCTATGAAAGGAACTGAAAATCTTACCATCTTCTTCATACTTCAGACTGCTATCGGATTCTGCACATGTAAGAGAAAAACAGTGTCCACTTTAATGCCTTCTTCAGATGGAAAGCAGAATATGTAAGAATGTGCACATTAGATTCAGATGGAAAGCAGAAACTTTAAGGCCTTGTTTGGTTTGTTTTTCTGAAAAATTTTTGAGAAAAATTCTCTACAAACAAATTTTCAAGAGTAATCAAACCAAACAAATTTTTCCAAAAAAAATCTCAAAATTTTGTTTGGTTACCTACTTTCCAAAATCACTCTCTCTCTCATACACATCAAATCAATTACTTTTTTTAAAACTCTCTCTCCAAAACAATTTTCCAAAACCATTTCTGAAAAAAGGCAAACCAAATAAGTTTTCGTACTTTTATCTCAAAAACTACTCTACAAACACAAACCAAACACACCCTAAGTATTTATTGATAAATTTAATTTTCATAATGATGTTAAAAATTCAAAGAAACTAGCCATCTCAAGAAGATCTCACCTGGAGGAAGCTTCGAAGCTATTGAGCACGTTGCAGACGATGATGAACCCAATTCAAACCAAGGAAAGTTAGCAGATGCAAATGGGGCAATTTTATTTTCCACAGGGTCATTTTTCAGACCTTCCAAAGGAACCAGGCTGTGATCATAAGTAAGTGACTCCAAGTCCGCAAGAAAATCAGATCTGCCTTTCAGAGAAGTATTAGTGTTTCCAATTTTTATCCATCTACTCTGGCATGTGGTCTTACCCGCAGATGATTTAATTGCATCAGCGCTAGATTTGTAATGCCCGCCAGAATTATGTGACCAAGAAAAAGGTGGCAAGCTATCTCGGTGAGATATTTGCTTGCCACGTGAATCAGAATTATTTTTTGAAACTACAGTAGGCTTGGCCACGTCCAGGAGCAGAGAATCCAAATCCTTGGGTGGAGGAAGTGCGAGGCGCTCCAAAATATCTTTAGGTTGACACAACACGAAATCTAGCACATCGGCAGGGATTTTGGGCTTGCTAAAAGAATCCTGAACATTTAAGAACAAAATAAAGCGTGAAGGATAAATGTAAGTATTCAATAAATAGGTTCCAAAGAAGATTAGGACTGTAATCTCATAAAATTTAAAATAACCCCACAGCATGGCTTAAGGAATGTTGAATATAAAGCAGAGCTTTCCATATTTCAGGTATTTAAAAGAAGTAATTCAAGTTCAGCCTGTAAACCTAACAAACTACTGATGCAATCAGTTGATCTGGTCAAGTGATTTTAGCAATGTTAACTAAATAGAAATAGTAGTACAATTTGCAAACAACATTTAACTTTGTGCACGGTACTTGCATCGTAATTTCAAATTGAAACTTCAAACTGACAAAAGTGATTTGTGCCAGCATCTTAGATTCTAAAAAGAATATTAATTATTATTCTTCCACCAGTATAACATCTGTAGGGGCTCCTCCGAGTCTAACTGGCAAACAATTGAGATACTCCCTTCAAACTAACCTTGTCATGTGAAGACAGATCAGTAGTGCAGGTATCTCCTTTATCATTGTCATTTCTAGTTGCCACAGAAGTGTCAGAGCTCAATGGGCATGTGGAAACTTTCTGGTTGTAACTATTATCAATCTCAACAGAATTCTGGCTCTGTAGAGGCTTGCATTGCCGAAGAATAGAGCAAGTCTTTCTAACTGAATGTAGAATATTTTCATTCAAATTTGCTGCTTTCTTTCCTTTGTCTTTGGCAAAACTAGGACACTTGTAACTGCCATCAAGGAGCTCATTCACTGATAGCTCATCCAGATGCTTCGTGACATCAGAAGTATCTGGTTTCAAACCATTTATTCCTGAAATCAAGTGTTTATAGGTCAATATGAAATTATGCATGTGCAAATAAATATGATGATTTAATTGAAAATCTTCTAAAGAAACAAGCTAAGCAGCTAATAATAACCAGCACACAAAAATAAATAAAAATTTCCTCCCAGGTCATTGCATGAGAATATTAGAAGCAGCAACATGGTCCAGATGGCCATGGAACCAGAAAGATGGTTGAACACTGTACCACCAAACACACGGTCACTCCACTGCCACCACTATCACCACCGTCATCACCATATAAAAATTAAAATATACAATTTAAAAATAATAAATTTTAAATTTAATTTTATACATATCAAACAATATATTTGTAGTTCAGCACTTAATTTTTTATCAAACAATTTTTCAGTTTAAAAATTTAATATTCAATTTTTAATACTTAATTTTTAGTCTACAATTTTCAATTTTCATGCAACTATAAAAAAAATTACTTTTTGCTCTGTGTGGACAATTTTCATTATGAGTCATTGTAGAAATTGATAAAGTTAAAAGAAGACAAATTAATCTATTAATAAGAGAAAAATTATAATTGTTGACCTTCTTGTTTTCATCAACCGGCCAAACTCAAATATTATTAATTTTTTAAACTCGAAATGTCTAATTTTGTAACTGGTATTTCAAATACAAATTGAATTTATTTGTAAACTTGTGCAAATAAATTAAAGGATAAAACATAGTTTTAGTTTTCAAAGTATGAGTTCTTTGTCATTTTAATCTCTCCAATTTTAATTTTGTAATTTTGGTAATTAAAGTTGTTAATTTGTGTCAATTTAGTTTTACCTCTAAAGTCCGTTTATATTGATAACTAAAAAAGTATTTCATTCTTAGATAAAAAATAATTTTGATCCCTAAAGAATGTATTTCTTGTCATTTTAGTTTTGCAATTTAAAATTTGTTATTTTGATTCTCAAAATTGTCAATTTGAAAATTTGAACTAGGACTGAGAGGGTAATTTTGAGTGAAAATTGGGCCGAGCTATGAGACGGACTTTATGGCCCAAAGTATGACGGACTGAGTAAAAATGGCCGAAAAGTTACTCAGGCCCAAGGGAGATAAAGTTACTCTGGCCAAAAAGAGATGAAGTTACTTCGGCTCGTGAATTGTTAAGCTACTTCGGTCCGAAAGCAGCTTGAAGTTAGATCGGTCTTGAAGGTACATCGTTCTTGAATTTATACCGGCTTTAGAGGTATACCGGTTTTGGAGTTATACCGGTCGAAGAGTCGTTGGTTCGGTCCAAGCACACCATGAGTTGAACAAATGAGAACCGAGATAAGGAAATATAAGCGGAAAGGGCCGAACTAAGGATAGTTTGGCCTACTTTGTGCCTCAGCATAGCCAGGTTTATCTCGGTCAGATGATAGTTCGGCCATGGTGAAGACCATCCCACTTGGTTTAAGTAGTGGGGGGGTGTAAAAAGATAAGCATTATCTTTTAGGAGCATGAATCCTAGGAGGACTCTGCATGGAGAAATAAAAGTCCTACTAGGATTGGGCCATTCGAAACCTATAAAAGCTCACAAGCATTACCTTGGAAGGGGTAAGATAACACAACATACAATTTTGCTTTCTGAAAACATAGAGCTTTGTCTATTTGTCAAGTTTTCTGACTTAGGCATCGGAGAGGTTTCCGGCACACACCCGCCGGCTAGCTCACGTTTGTGTTTTCAGGTGACAAAGCGACGTCGTACGGAGGAGTGTGGACTTAGTCAACAGGATTATACGAGGAGAATTATTTCTTCCTCGTACAATTGGCGCCGTCTGTGGGAAGAACAGACAGAACAAAACCTCTTGATTAAAGCTTCTCCTATTTACAATCAATGGCTCACATTGAAGAATTGCCGCAGTCCGCCGTCGACGGACTCACTCCTGATGGGGGCGTAAGGCGTGAAGGATTACCTGCTGTCCCTCCCATGGCGGACTTGGAGCCCCAACGACATACCTCCAGGAGGGATGCTAGGGGAAGGCAGAATAATAGCCCCCACCGCTCTCATTCACAAAGTCCAGACAGACAAAGACGGAGAATTGACCCTCAAGCTCTGGAAGATCGCGTGAAAGAACAAGATGAATTGATAAAGAAGATGGCGGCGGACATGGAGGCCTTGAAACGCCAGATGAAGAAAAAAGAAGTGGCGACAGGAAAGGGGCGCAAAAACAAGACGCCCCCTCGCCACTCAGAAAATCGTAGTAGGAATACTACACCCTTACAAGGAGAGAGTAAAAGCCTCAGGACAGGCGGCGCTCAATCCTGGTCTTCCAGAACTCATCACTCCAGGTCTGAGAGGACGAGATCTAAAAGGTCATACACTGAAGGAAGCACATATTGGCCCTCGCATTCGCACCAAACCAGATCTAAACAAACGGAACTACCCAGATCATCCGACTTACGAACCGTACTCGAAGAGAAAGCACGATGCAAGGAGGATGCCAGGGCAAGGGATCCACATAGAGTTTCAGCCTTGCAGCGATTGGCTCCTCGGACGCATGGAAGCGTCGAGGTTGGAATGCCAATACCGCGCCCTGCCTATGAACCGACGGACAAGGCATTAGCAAGACTGCAGACTTCACCGTTTGTTCCAGCGATCGAAAACGCGCCCCTACCATCAGGCTTCCTTCAGCCGAAATTCACTACATATGAAGGGAAGACGGATCCCTACTCACACTTAAGCCATTTTTGCCAAGTCATGGCTGTGTACAGGCGAAACGAGGCCTTAATGTGCATACTCTTCCCATCAAGTCTTGGCGACCTCGGCTTGACTTGGTTCGAGAAACTTCCTGAGGGCAGTATAGCCTCTTGGGCGCAATTGGCAGAAGAATTCGTAACAAGGTTCCGAACGAACACTAAAACCCCGGTGGAGATCGGCCAGCTTCTCTCCATCGACATGGGAGAAAAAGAGACCCTCAGATCTTACAACAGTCGCTACTGGGAGACATTCAATCAAATAGGGGACTGTCCCACCAATCTCGCAATTGCATAGTATAAAAGAGGCCTTCCAGTTGGGAACAGACTGAGGGACTCGATCACCATGACACCACCCCTCACTATGGAAGCCCTGATGGAAAAAGTGCATCAGCACATCAGGGTAGAAGAGGATGGCGCACGAGCCAAAGCAAAATCTAGTGCGACCGCAGTACCAGAAAAGAAGACCTCAGCAAAGGTCAATACAGTAGATAGGCAGAACAAAAACGGGCGTGGCAGACGAGATAACGGAGAAGACCTTGATAAAAGATGGTTGAGAATCCGTACTGCCATAACCACGGTGTTCAAGAAACCGATATATCGGATTCTTAGCGAAATAAGAGATGAGCCTTTCGTCAAGTGGCCAGCCAAGCTACGAGAAGCCCAGAAGGATTATGATGAAAGATCACGGTGCACCTTTCACAAAGAAAAAGGGCACCGCACTGAGAATTGCACACCATTAAGACAACACTTGGAAGAGTTAGTGGCAGCAGGCCACTTGGATAAATACATTGAAGGAGGGACGCAACCAGCCCCCCAGGATCACAATAACCCCAACGGAATGCCAATCGATGCCCCACCTCAAGGCATTATCAATGTAATACATGGAGTCTTTGAACCTGAGCGTGTATGCGAGCTCAGGGGATCAATCAAGAAGGCTGAGCACTTTAGAGAGGTGCTAAGTGCCCAACCAGCCATCAAGAAAGGGAAGACAGAGGCAACAAATGTTATGACTTTTTCGGATAAAGACTTGGATCGAATATACTGTCCTCACAATGATGCCCTAGTCGTCACTCTCCGAGTCAAGGATTTTGACGTCAAGCGGATTCTGATTGACCAGGGTAGTTCATGTGAAATCATGTACTACGACACATTCAAACAACTGAAGCTACAAGACAAAGACTTGGCGCCTGCAGCTTCTCCCCTAATTGGATTCAACTCCATGCCAGAATGGCCCGTCGGCAAAATAATTCTTCTGGTCAGAGTAGGAAGCGTAACAAAACAAGTGGAGTTCTGGGTATTGAAGGTCCCCTCCACTTACAACATCATCTTGGGCAGAACATGACTGCACGCCATGCATTCGGTGGCGTCATCATACCATCAGGTAATGCGGTTCCCCAACGATACCGGTATAATTGAAGAAGTCTATGGAGATCAGATCATGTCAAAACAATGTTTCGCCATAGTAAATGGCAGCCGCGCTGCCAAAGGATACGTTCATTCGGTGGAGGAACCTGAAAGTAATGAACTATTCGCGGACGTCGGTAAAGAGGCTGATCAGAAAGCGGTGGAGGACTTGGTGGAGGTAAAAATAGATGAGAAGAACCCGGATAAGTTCTTCTTGCTTGGCTCATCGTTGTCCAGCGCTGAGAGATTAGAGGTCATGGAATTCTTGACCTCTAACATCGAAGTGTTTGCCTGGACGCCCTACGACATGCCAGGCATTGATCGAAACTTCATCAGTCACCAACTCAATGTCCACCCATCCGCCAGACCAGTCATTCAACGCACACGTAGATCGGCACTCCACCACGCCAAAATAGTGGCAGAAGAAGTAGGCAACCTGCTGGAGGCAGGAGCAATTAGAGAAGTGCACTACCCATGATGGATCTCCAACACAGTCGTAGTGCCAAAGGCATTCTTCAGTGCCGGTCGGCAGAAACTTCCTGCAGAAGCTGGTTTTTGACAGCAACAAGGACAGACAGTGCATGGCATGGAATTTCAAGCAAATGTATGCGCGGGCACACTCCCTATCATGCAAGGGACTCAAGGGAGCATGACCCTCGACCCTCGGGCCATCAATTATGCATGATGGCCTAAGAGGCCAAGTTTTGCAACTTCGATATCAAATGAAATGCAAGCATAAAACACATCAAAGGGCCCCAACCCCTATCATGATTGATCAAGAGGCAATGGATGCATGCTCAATGAAATGCAACTTAGGCATGGAGGCTAAGTATGCAACATGAACATGCAAATGAGCAATGTATACTAGGCGCGCAACCTAAACATGTAAGCAAACACGACATGCAACAACATGCGATGATGGACTTAAACTAACATGGATAGCTCGCAAGCATGCCAAAATCAGTGGCCATTAGATGAAAATGAGACACTCGAAATGCGTGCACGCATGCACGCAAATCGAAGACCGAACCTAAGGCATCAAATGCCACTCTACTAAAGCATGGCAAGGCATGGAATATGGTAT